TTGAACTCTGCCAGTTACAGCACTTTTGGTNCTCAAACTTTTTCCCCAAACCAAAAAATATGCGATTCTCCTCTGGAAAATTTGGGTGAAACTTCAAACTCGTTTTTTTCGAAAGATTTAAAAAAATCCGAATTTCTGTTGTCGCCTGAAATAGATAGCAGACATGTTAAACTTTCTTTAGAAACAAAAATTATACCTCTGGGGTCAAAATTGGCCGAGTTATGGCCATTTTAGTGGAGGGGTGGGGTCTGAAACCAGCCTAATGCAGTCCAATGGCACTGGTAGGGGTAGGGGTGAATGCCAAAACTTTGACAGGCTGCCGCTTGGAGCCTATTGGAGATGTAAAGCTGAAATTTGCACTGAAGGTACACACCCATCTGAAGTTGCTGTGTTCCAATTTTCAGCTTCCTATCTTGAAAACTCTGCCAGTTACAGCACTTTTGGTCTCAAACTTTTTCCCCACACCAAAAAATATGCGATTTTCTTCTTGAAAATTTGGGTGAAACTTCAAATGTCGATTTTCTCGAAAGTTTGACAAAAAATCGAATTTCGGTTTCTGAACAAAATAGATGGGGGACATGTTAAACTGTCGTTTGCAACAAAAATTATACCTCTAGGGTCAAAATTGGCCGAGTTATGGCCATTTTAGTGGAGGGGTGGGGTCTGAAACCAGCCTAATGCAGTCCAATGGCACTGGTAGGGGTGAAGGCCAAAACTTTGACAGGCTGCCGCTTGGAGCCTATTGGAGATGTAAAGCTGAAATTTGCACTGAAGGTACACGCCCATCTGAAGTTGCTGTGTTCCAATTTTCAGCTTCCTATCTTGAAAACTCTGCCAGTTACAGCACTTTTGGTCTCAAACTTTTTCCCCACACCAAAAAATATGCGATTTTCTTCTTGAAAATTTGGGTGAAACTTCAAATGTCGATTTTCTCGAAAGTTTGACAAAAAATCGAATTTCGGTTTCTGAACAAAATAGATGGGGGACATGTTAAACTGTCGTTTGCAACAAAAATTATACCTCTGTCTTGAAAACTTGAAAACCTTTTTTTTTTTTTTTTTTGAAAACCTTTTTTTTTTTTTTTTTTTTTTTTTTTTAAGTCCAATTTAGGTGAGAACATGGATAATTCTCCATTGACTTAACATTGCATTACGTCATAAGGCCCCATCAGCTGATTCAAATTCCCATTGACTTCTTAAGCGCCCTGTAAAATGGATATTCAATGTTAGTTACTGACCATGCATTATTGTTTAATAGCATTACTTTACTGTATTACATTGTTGAGTTGCTATTGGTTATTTTTCTATTAAATTTATATGCCATCCTTTTCAAAGATCATTTGAACTCTGTAATTTATTTGACACACTCCTATTTCTACACAAATAGACCGGATATCAGGTAAGGCTTTTCTTGTCTTATTTATTGAATGGCGGTAACACATTTTCAGTTCAAATTTTACACCAATTTAACTGAAACTTAATAGTAAAATTAACCAAATTAAAATCGAATCGGTTTGCGTGTGCAATTTGGCGCCTACAACTGTCTTCACATGTTCGTATATAATCCGAATTCCCTTTTTATAGAAAATTTGAATATTAGCTTAGAAATGGTGTGAGAATATTTTCTTGCGTGGATCAAATATAAACATGAGCATACATTCTCTATTTCATACAAAAATTCGATAGTGTAATCAGTAAGTAAATTATTGAAAGAACGGTTTTTGAGTTAATGCCTTTTAATAAGTCAATTTTTCTCCTCTTTTTTGTGATGGCCTTAACTAATTTGATACTTCAGAGCAGTAAGTTTTAGATTATTTTGTTTGTGGTTATTGATTTTGATTTAAAAAGATAGGCTATAGGAAAATTCAACTTTTAATGTAATGAGATAATAATTCAATTAAGGTCATAGATATTGGTCAGTTATTCAGATCGGAGGGGATTGGACAAAATTTGGTCAAAAAGACTTGAGGAGGCAGCAGTTTTTATCTCATTTTGGGAAATTTTGTAATGGCCTAAAGTAATTAAATTCTTTTAAAATTTAATAGTTCACAGATGTAAAGTTTTTATATTTTGGTGTTATCGTGTTATTGATTTTGGTTGAAAAAGATATAGGAAAGTTCAACTTTTAATTTATCAAAGTCATGGAGGGATGGATATGGGTCAGTGTTCAGGTTGGAGGGGATTAGTTCCCATGTGGTACAGGCTGTGCACGTTAGAGACCCCTCGTCAGTTGAAAATCGAAAAAGAGTAGGCCGCTGTTCTGTCAAAATTTCATTCATTGTCCACTACATAGCTTTTCCCCCTTCCCATTAAAATAGATGCAGAAATGTAGCACGTAAAAAAAAGAATTGCAATCTTTTCCCTATGAATTAAAATATCAATTATAAAATACTACTGAGAGTTTGATTGTATTTGGGTTGATGAAAATGTTTACCACTGGAAAAAATATATAATCTAAATCTAAATAAGATTTTTTTACCTAAGGGAATTTTCAGTCTGAAAAGTAGGTCATTTTTGAATATTTATTATAAGAAAAAAAATTCATTTCAAAACTCGAAATAACAGTAAATAAGTGAAATAATTGAAATGTAGATATTGTTTACCTTGTTCAGACAATAACTTGAAAGAAATCTGCACATATCGATTTACCAACGAATTGGCGAAGACAGTCTTTAACATTATTACCACAATGTTGTGTCGTTATTTACCCTTCGTCCGTCGTGCTTGTTAAGTATAAGAATATAACGCCTTTTACATGTATTTGATACAGACAACAAACTGCTAATAAGATAACGCCATCGTTCATTCAACCTGTAAAATCTACTCACGCACGTGCAAACATCCTCATGAAGAAGACTAACATACATTTTCATGCCTCTGTTTTTCTTGTCAAGAATAACACTCTAAACAGAAGAAAATATAAACACAAGACTCTATGATACAAAGACCCAACTTTAAAAGTAAGACCCTTAGTTTCTATATATCACAAAGACCCATTATGTCTTATGTAATATTAAGCTTAACCCATTTAATGTTATATTAATCCAAAAACCCATTGTACTCTACAACTAAAACCCATTGTACTATATAAATCTAAAACGCATTGAGCTAAAATAATACTATGAAATTAAAACCCCATTGTACTATAAAGCTAAAACCCGCATAAAACTAAGACCGAAACTGTAAGACTCTATTGAACTAAGACTCGTTCTAATATTAAACTAAGACCTGGATTAACTACTGGTGGAGACAGGAGTTTAGAGGTAGTTTTAAACGGCTGAGAGTTCCCGATAGAATTGGAGTATTAGTTGCAAAGTAGTGCTTAAACTCTTGAAATAAACTATAAATGCGTTGGTAAAAATGAATTGCATATAGACACTCATTGTAATGTCATCTTGAAATTTATTTTACCGACATTTTTATTTAAATTTATAGTGAAAAAGTAAATTAGTAAATGATTTGTAAATTTAAAATAGGTCAGTTGTCTGAAGATCGCAGCGAAACTTTGAGTGATTCAAGTTTCTATGTCGCTCTACAATTGATGTATTGAGCACTATTTTAACATTGAAAATAACAGTAAATAATCAGTTCAGGTTTGATTTTATAATACAAAGTTATAATTTTAAACCAAATTAAATAATTGTAAGAGGCAGCCAATTGGCCAATTGCATTGTCTTTCTTATCTCCATTAATGATTGGTGGAAGAGTCGTCTGACATATTATATATAATTTACAGAAGATTAACAAAAAGAAGAATGATATAAATAAGGCAGTGCTCGATTTGTGATCACGTGGAATGTTACTTTTATTTCCATCATGTCCAAATCGCATGTCTTATAATGTTCGTTCTTTATGTTACGAAACTTCTATAGAAAACCATAGATTAATAATGATAAGCTGTATATTGTAATTTACTAAGATTATCATTATATCGAGACTTGGAAACAAAATGAGACAAGGAATTCTAGCATTGGAACTGATTATATTTGTAGGAATTTGTGTTATAAGAGGTATGTTGTTGCATTTTTCCTTAAGTCAGTAGAGCACACAAAACTTCATGTACGTATGGTTCTAACGTGGTTTAACAATACGCTGGATATAAAGCCCCTTAAAGGGACAGTTATTTTCGGTGGTTGATATGGTTCTTGAATATACAAAAATAGATTTCAGAAGTACTAGAAATGTACAAAACGTGGATAATTCTGAACAAACGTGCATTTGAAAGCTAAAATTTCGAATGTGAGCTGTGAAAACTGTTACTGATTAGAAAAGATTAGAAATTGGCCAAACATGCGGAAGCTCAAATACGACATGTTCTATTCTATTTTTTGAATTTCTAATTTGAAAAAATAATTATTGATTTGAAAAAATAATTTTGAATTTGAAGAAATGATTTCTAATTTGAAAAAATAATTTTTCATTTGAAATTTGTATTTGAATTTGAATTTGAAATTTGAATGTGAAATTTGGATTTGAAATTTGAATTTTGAATTTGAAAAAATAATTTTGAATCTGAAAAATTAATTTCGAATTTGAAAAAAATAAATTTGATTGTAACCAAATTGACAAGTTCTCTTATTTCGCCCTTAACCCTCTCTTGTAGGTGGTAATCGTGGAATTGGCCTAACAAATTATAAATACAGAAAATGGGTGGACGTTTCGTCAGTGACTTATTTTGTAGTAAGAGTTCGTTTTAGAAATGATTCGATGTCAAGATTTGGTATTTGTGTATACAAGGGCAAAGATCGGTGGTTTGAAGTTAAATTAGGACCCGACTTCGTCGAACTTGTCAATGGCAATACAACAAACATAACGTATATAAATACAACGCTAGATAGTGGTGAAATTACACCGCTCTGGATTCAGTGGTATGATCATGGAACAACCGTGGGCCATGGGGAGAAAGTTGGTGTTGATATTCTGTCATCTGGGATTGTGAATGGATCTGCTGAAAATGTGACTTCTATAGCTTTTAATGGTTTAAAAACTGAACTACAAATCTCGACTTCAGTAGGTATGTGTCTATTTTTATACGCCCACATGAATTGGGGGACCTATATTGTCGTCACCTATGTCCGCCAGTCCGTCCGTCTGTCCACATTTGCTCGTTTACACTCTAGAAGGCACAATATTCCTGGTGGATTATGAAAAAACTTGGTGTGTTTTTTCTCAACCAAGAATGAACCCTATTGAAAATCAGAAGAATCGAAAAATATTTAGTATGAGTTATTGCCCTTGTTCTTAAAAACGCGTTCACGTTTTAGCCTGTACCACTCTGGAAGGCCAAATTCTTGACAGATTTTGACGAAACTTCGTAATATTATTCAGTACTGTACTGTCAACTACTTTTATTTTAAATCAAAGCTGCTAGTGGTATATTATCTTGCCTGGAAAGCTATCTTAGATTATTTATGTCAATTAATCCTACGGAAATGCAGAGGGTGGGCGGGTTAAAAAAAATTATGTACTCAAATATCAACATGAAAACATGTATCAATTATTCTTTTAAGTTAATGCTTTAGATTTGGAGGACCAGTTGTCGATTAAAGTTTAGACGAAGCTTGTTTTATTATTAGGAGCGTTGAGGTTCTAGAATATCATCGTAGTCGAAATGAACGAAACACTATCGAAAAATTGAACGACTGCGATCTACTGGAATGTTGAAGGGAAGATTCCGGCCTTGAGATCCAGCTTTTGCAAAAAGGAGAACGGATCCATATTTTTTTTCTGTCTAAACATATAGGCCTACATAAATCTAAAACCTTGAAGTCCTTTACGTACAGTTATTTAGAATATCTAAGGCATTGTTCTGTTCTATTGCAGGGTACAGATGTTACAGCGGATTTAAAATGATACCAATGGACGAGGTTAAATTCACACCTACCTTGCTGAACTGTGTCTCTTTTTGTCAAAGCAAAAACTTTGCTATGGGACTGAGTTACGTAAAATCTACAAGCAGTTGTAAATGCCATATAGTATTCGATGGAGGAGATGGATTCCCTCTCACCAAGGAAATAGACCCTCTTTCAAAATCGTGTTTTCAATATAATATATAATGGTGAACTAGTATGCGATAGTATTTTGGATATCATTACAAGGCAAATTGTGCTTCAAGTTTGTTTCCATATATATAAGCCAAGTTACAGAATTTGAATATGTCTTATTTGGGGGAAAAGACATGTTTTCTTTGGTGGTAATTGCTTTGTTACCTTTAGATAAAGAATTTTTTTTGACGTTGTTTGATGTAGAATAAAATAGTATAAATTCTTCGTTAGGACATTTAATGTCATGAATTTGGATATTATTGAAGTCAAACGAAAAAAGCCATACTTTAACTGCAGTTGAATCTGATAAATCAGCTTCAAAATAGTACTGGTAATCTAATAATGTCTTTGCGTTAATAAAAATTAACCCTGAGCACATATTATCACTTTGACATTTGTTTTGACAGAGGAAACTTTGAATTTGGTGGTAGGAAAGGGTCTATTCAATATCAATGCAAGATTATTCCAAGACTATCAGTACTATTTTAAAGGTGATAATTGAGACAGTTGGAGCTCCCATCTGACAAACACTTTGGCAGTGATTCCATTAAATTTGTTGTGTTGTGGTTCAGTGACAATTCACCTGATACATTTTGTGAATAAATCCTTACAATAACGGAGCCAGGTTGACGTGCGAGGAGGGCGAAATATCTGAGGTTTCCCGAAATTCTAACCTAACTAGGAGAGTCATGCCTGAAAAACTTGCATTCGAGGTTGCGAGGGGGCTGTCCCCATTTGGCTCCCCCAATGAATCCATATCATAATCATTGATAACATCTTTATCATTTTTTTTACAACCAAAGACAATAAAAAACACATTTAGTTTGTATACAATTAAATAATTCAGAAAAAAAAATATCATTATCACAGATTATTAAAAAAAGAGTAATGTAGAAAATTCATGCCATATAGAGGTATACATATCAAGTTAATTTTCAGTTATTATAAGATGTCATCCTTCACTTGCCACTAAAACTCTTCAAGTTTCAAATTCAATGATTAAGAGTAAACACAAAGGCATATATAAGGCAAATATACTATGTATAAAAATACAATATAATTGTGGTAAATTTGTTGAGATAGAAAAAGGTTCCATAAATCAAAGCATAAGTTAAAGGGGCATTCTGCCTTTTGTGTACGTCGGAATTTCTTTTTGTTCAAAATAGTGAAAATTATACACCAAAATCTAGAGACATATGTCCCTTAATGTATCTGAAACTAAAACAATACAGCTGTTAATTTTTAAACACCAAAAATATTTTAAAACATTATGTAAGTTTACTTAAACTTATAAAGTTGATGTTTTTTGGATGCTGTTAGAAAACTACTGTACAGATTTAAGTAAAATTAACACCTAATTGTAGAAAAATATGTCTCCTGCATAAAAAAAGTGGAATGTCCCTTTAAAATAAGGCATTGAAAGGGGCATGGGTTGCTTTAAATACATCATTGAAAAAAAAAGATTCTTCTTTGGTGATGTCCCTTTAAAACCTTTAAAATGAGGCATTGAAAAAAAAAGATTTGTCTTTGGTGATTCCCCTTTAAAATGAGGCATTGAAGGGGTCTGGGTTGGTTAAAATACATCATTGAAAAAAAAGATTTGTCTTTGGTGATGCACCTTTAAAATGAAGCATTGAATGCTTCCAAAGTTTGATCGTAGTTTGAAAAGTAAGGCATTTTGCTTCATTTGTTGCGCTGCAGATTGGCTCATTTTTCCTTCTATCTAACAGCAATTTGTTGAGCAAGAGGTTGGTGACTCTTGTCTGCTAGTTTTGGACTGGATTCATTGATGTTCAATTGTAATACCTTCATTGCTTTTCTTGACTCCCTTAAAAAAAAAAATCAAAATTGTCAATCTTTAGTGGCACTTAAAATTTTGTAATATCATATATATTTAAAGATATATAGTCAAATATATCTGCATCATCTGCTGGTAAAGCTCAATTTTACCTATCTGTATTACTTTGCAGAATCGCATTTTGACAATCTTTCCCTTACGTTTCAATAGTTAATTCAGAAGGCTATGTATTCTCGAAACAATCTTAGCGTAAGGATATCATAGAAACAGTATTAGGGTCTATTGAGACGAAATGAAAGCACTGGCCTAGGTTACAGAGCAATAGATAAGTTAATTGATTATGTGAAAATTAGTTCGTCATTAGCACAGTGTTACAAGTTAAGACCCTAAGAAATCCTAGCGCTAAGATCGTTTCAAGAATACACAGTCAGACTTTTTAGTAAGTCTGTAAAGGTAAAGTAACTTACAATCCTAAAACTCCATCTAATCTCTCTCTTTCTCTCAAACATCTAACAACACGTTTATCTGTTAATTTCAAAGTTGAAAAAGCTCGAATAATCTAAAAAGAAATGATCAAATTAAATATATTTCATTGATTTCAGGCTCATTTATTTTGTGCAATTCTCACATTAAAAGAATACTTAAAAAATTTAAGAAAGAGGAAAGCCAATATGGTACGCCATGAGAATATTCAATGCACTAAAGCCTACATTTTAAGAAATATTTGAAAAAATATCCTCTCAATATTATCACTATTAATGTGTTCAATTAAGGAATTCAGAGCCCTTCTTTCACTATTCAGTGTCAAGGATGACCTCTCTTTTACCCTTCTTCTTTCAATTGACCTTTTTCTTCATTTCTCCTATTTTCTTGTACCTTTGTCGCTGAAAGCCAATAGGCTTGTACATTGTACACCCAAACAATTCCCAAGAAAGATTACTAAAAAAAATGTTTACCATAATTCTAACATATTCACTTGTATCTAATTCTAACATTTCCAGTAGAAGTCTGGTCAACTTTTCACTCCTCATACCAAGAGTTCCCTAAAATATGAAAACATCATTTATAGAATCAAATGAGTAAATGTTGTTATAAGGATACTCATATCTTAAACTTGGACTCAAAGCTTAACCTTTTCAACCCTAGCGGCCAGTTTAACGGCCACACATTAACGCAATATATACCCGAGCAAATGTTACTAAGTGACGTCATACAATGTTAACGTCATACGCTTTTACTTTTATTACTTGGAGTTCAGGGTATATGATGTTATATTTTATTTACACTCAGGGTTCAATGGGTTTAAGGAATATAGTTGAAAGTAGTATATTAGTTTTACAAGCTAAAAGAGCTCTGACTGGAGAATCTCTCTGTCTATAATGTACACCCCCAATGTGACAAACCCTTTTCAAGGAAAAATCTGTGCATTATATATGCAAATATATGGTACATGTATCACATTTCAAAAATAATATTTGAAGTTGAAGTTGGTCTAGCCCATTATCCGTTCAAATCTGAGCCACATTTGATATTATAACTACCCTAGAAGCTTTCACAGGAATTTTTCTAGGCCATTTTCCAGTTAAAGCTGGCACATTTGGTTTAACAGTAATATTTCAATTTCAGTATTGGAAAAGATAATTTCATAACCTAATAACCACAACTTTACATTGGACCCATAATATTGAATGCAAGACAGGCTTTTTGTATTCTCGAATACAATATAAGTGAATTCTAAAAGAAAAACTTACAACAGAAACAACAGCTTCAGCTCTGATTTCTTCATCTCTGTTCTCTAACCTTCTACAATAACACATAAATCTTTTATTGGTTATAACAATCTTTTTTACATTTCTATTCTAAGACACATACATGCAAGAGCCATTCTGTGAGTCAGGTATTTTTTAACCTCAACAACCTATGGCTTTATTGTTCTATTCACTGATTTATCAAGTTCACTAGTTTAAAAATCTAAAGTTATCATGATGGCAATTTTAAAAAATAATCTTACTTTTCAACAGATTCACATGCTCTCGAAAACATCCCTAATGCTGTTAAAGCTTTACCAGCTGATACTCTTACTTCCTGAAACACAAATATTCACAAACTTCATTTCTTGATTAACACTAAAAGGGATTGTAAAGATGTTATCAAACATGTTTATCAGGGACACTAATAGCAACAGTCTCCACCATTTCAATAATCAGCCCACTGTCTGTGGTTCATGCAATTCAAGTACAACTAAACATTGTATGAAGACATTTTCATAATACCTAGGTTTTTGTGATAATGACGTCATAAAACATTTCTGCTATTGATTTCTTGCTCAGATTTGATATTAGAAGTTACAGAAGTAGCTAAAATTATCTCAACAATATGGGAACAGGGTTTGTATTCCTCTTGAACTATAAACAACCCAAAACTTGAGTTGATATTACTAAGGATATGAAAAATGAAAAAAGTACATCAGCCAAGAGTTTAGGATAGTTAAAAACCTCTTACAGCTACTGATACATATTACATAATTTATAATTAAAATTCTTACATGACTTGGCTCATCCCACAATTTTCTCTCCAATAAATTATAGATATCTTCATAATCATGTGCAACACATGGATGATTTCCTCCTGTAATTAGTAAAATACATCAATGAATTAAAACTTGTCACAAAACGATGAGTATACCAGTCAGTATAAGACAAAGTTCATAATATTGTGAAGATGTTAGTTGTCCAAGCCTCTGATGAACTTACTATATTTTGTCAATTGCTTGAACGGATTGGTCCCACATGTAAAAGACATTCTGAGTCCATATGTTTGAAGACTAAGGTTCACTGAAATTCAGTAGATTAAGGTGCTCTCATCAAGCTACAATTAAGGTTCACTTGATTTGAATACAGTTCAGTGCTCTCACGATACCCAGATGAAGGTTCATTAGACTTTCAATACAATGAGGTTTACCGGACTTCAGTAGATTAAGGTGCTCTCATCAAGCTCAGATTAAGGTTCACTTGACTTCAATACAGTTCGGTGCTCTCATGATGCTCAGATGAAGGTTCGTTAGACTTTCAATACAATGAGGTTTACCGGACTTCAATAGAGTTTGGTCCCTCATCAAGCCAAGGTTAAGGTTCACTTGACTTCAATACAGTTGGGTGCTCTCATCAAGCTTAGATTAAGGTTCAAATGACTTGAATTAAGCTCAAATTAAGTTTCACTTACCTAAAGATATTAGTAGTTTTGTGGCCAAAGCTCTATGTTTTGAAACAGGTGATGTCTGTAATAACTCCTTTATATTTTGGACAACTTTAGAATCAGTGCAATTTAACTGTTTAACTAATATCTCTAAGGCCTATAAATGATGAAAAATGAGTTTGTTAAAAATCTACATTACATTGCATACTTTGTACTTCCATTATTGAAAGATTCTAATCAGCTTCAAATTTCTAAAATGAAATTGTAGTCAATGGTTTAAAAGTCCAGAAACCAGCTGTCAACCTGATGTCATATTGGTATAGCAGATTCTGTACCCACTAATATGTTTCATTAAAGGGGACCAGTCGGCATTTTCGGGGATTGATTTGGGTCTTTATTGTGCTTTAATAGGCTTAAGAAGTACTAAAACACAGGAAAATCGCATAAGCCCTTCAAAGATACCTCAAACTAGAAATTTCACTGTCTATTCCTATATACATATATATGTTTTCTATATATAGCATAGTCTCACTAAAAATCAAGTCAAATTTTTAACTTCCAAACATGAATAATTATGGATACACATAGATTTGAAGGCTCAAATTTCGACGGTGAGCTGTGAACACTGTTACTGATTATGTAATCTAAGAAATTTCTGTTTCTAAAAGTAAGGTATAATTGGCGAACATATAGTGAAGGTGCTCCTTTAAATGTATTTTTCAACTTGCAACATAATTTCTAGATTACTTATTTTCTATGGGAGGTTTTCTTACGTTTCTCATTCTTCAACTCATCAACAGGATTTATAAAATAAATGATCTAAAGAATTTTACCTTAGCCTTAATATGAGAGTCATCACTAGTTGAAAGAGCATTAGATAATTTGCCTTTTGCATTAGAATCAGCTACACAGAGCTTTCCTAATAATACAGCAGCTTCCATTGATGTAGGGTCATCAGGGTCAGGATTACAGCAAAAATGACTCAGAACTTTCACCAACTCTTTAAATGCAGCAACAGACTGAAAATGTATCAGGATTAAAAAAAATGAACCTTGTCCAGATCTACCTACTTCACTTGACTATAGCATTCATTGCCAAAATGAAAGAATGTCTTTTCATGATTAACAAAATACAAGGAACCATTAAAATTGGTTGAAATGCATCACCCAAAATCAAAAAAAAAGAAAAGAAGATTGCCACACTGCTCACAAATTAATATAACCTCCATGTTTAAATGATATACAATTTCATAGTAGTATTAGGAGTTTTGCCTTAATTTACTTTAACAGCAGCCACTTTTCTTGTATCATTGAAATGCAGTGATTTGATTGGATTGTACGCTAGTGAAAACAGCCAATCAGAGCTCACAACAGAATTTGTATAAAATAAATCATGTCAAGGGCTTTTATTGGCTGTATTTGCTAACATACAATCCAATCAAATTGCTGAATTCTGTGATACAAGAACTGTATAAGATAAAGTTTGTTAATACATTTTCCATTATGAAGATAATATATCATGACATACATAGGTAGAGATTCGATAGAAATATATATCTTTTGGATAGTCAACAATATTTACTGGGAGGAGCGCAAGTTGTTCCAGAGCTGTGAGTTTGTCTTGCCTTTTGAAACCCAAACTTGATCTTGAACTAAATAGTTTTAAGCTATTGGTTGGATAATGACTAACTTCATACAAGAGGCTGTGTGACAGACACTGTTAGATCTTGATTAAGCTAACAATCCAGTAGGATATAGGTTTATAACAAGAATAATCATTACCTTGTCTACATATTGAACATTTTTGCCTTGTTGCATATTAACTATCAAATCCAGACGTATTTCAGTATTACCCGTTACTAGAAACTTTAAAACTACTTGTAATACTTCATTATCCCAACATCCTGCAATATAAAAGCAGTTTCTGCCTATTTTTTGTCATCTTCACAATGTCAAGCTATTACAAACTTCGTACTTACCTTGATATAAGAAAGGTGGCTATGGCAGTCAAGGTCTGAATACCAAGTTCGTAATGGCTTAACATTGTGAAGATGATTTTATGTTTGAGCAATCTTTGCATAAAAGGTACAATTTACAGAATATCTTCCTTTGGCAGAACAGCAGGTCTACAAGATGAAGTCTTTCAGGTACTGGCTGACTTCATCTTGCTAAGTTTCAAAGTTCGCTAGTTTCAAAGTTTGATAGCTTCAAAGTTGGTTGCTTTCACTCACTCTGTGAGTAGTGACTACTGATGATGACAGTCCCAGGTTTGATTTCCAGTAGTAAAAGGCAAACCAAACCAAAATTGTTTTTAAATTATTAAATTATAATTAAAAAAGCATGATAGCTTTCAGGCATGAGTTCTATAGACACCAAGCTTTGTATTAAGAAGTAATATTAGACAAAAGCTGCTCTCAAATCATGACAATGAATATTACAAGTTGAAAATAACAAAGAATCTGATTTACACAAACTATGACCACCCTTACCAGTGATTATTGAAAGCTCACAATATTTTACAATCAAGTTTAAAAATAATTTGTAGTGATTTTCTTCTTTAAAAACAAAATAATATTGTTCTATTCTCTTTTTCATCTACTGAATTAGAATTGTATTAAGGGCATTAATAAGTAATGATTAAGCTGGGTTTTCTTACATCTCATAATGGTAAATATTTCAGCACTTGAAACTTGATGCATAAAAAATGCCCATGCATAATATATAAGATATTTCATTCAGATAACAAACAATTCTTTAAAGATAATTTCAAAGTCCATTATTTGTGGTTGAATACATCATCATTGAATCCCAATAATGAAACCAAGCTGGTCCATTATTTGTGGTTAAAAAATACATCATCATTGAATCCCCAATAATGAAACCAAGCTTGTCCATTATTTGTGGTTAAAAAGACATCAACATTGAATCGCCAAAAATTAAACCAAGCTGGTCCATTATTTGTGGTTAAAAAGACATCAACATTGAATCGCGAAAATTAAACCAAGCTGGTCCATTATTTGTGGTTAAAAAGACATCAACAGTGAATCCCCAATAATGAAGCCAAGCTGGTCCATTATTTGTGGTTAAAAAGACATCAACAGTGAATCCCCAATAATGAAACCAAGCTGGTCCATTATTTGTGGTTAAAAAGACATCAACAGTGAATCCCCAATAATGAAACCAAGCTGTGTCCATTATTTGTGGTTAAAAAGACATCAACAGTGAATCCCCAATAATGAAACCAAGCTGGTCCATTATTTGTGGTTAAAAAGACATCAACAGTGAATCCCCAATAATGAAACCAAGCTGTGTCCATTATTTGTGGTTAAAAAGACATCAACAGTGAATCCCCAATAATGAAACCAAGCTGTGTCCATTATTTGTCCTGTTAAAATTATGAAACCATGTGGGTCCATTATTTGTGGTTAAAATTATTTAATCAAGCTTGTTATTTGCAAATCCCCAATTCTGTAATGCCTGTTATTCATTATTCAATACGGTTGAATTGTTATTCATTATTCTTTAAATCATAATCCATCAATCTCAATCACTGAATACAAAGAAAAGTTTACAAAGCACTAATAATTTTTGCATATAAAAAACTAAGGGAAAAAAAGATCATTCTTCTTAGATTGTAATATAATCAATAAATACTCTAACAAATTTTAACACCTTTTCATAAAAAAATCTATGTTTTGAGCTTTATAGTTTTTTATTGAATTTAGCCTGAAGTAACCATCTTTTGAAAGAAACAAGAAACTTTTTCTCTCTAATTCTATAAATGTGATTGTCAGAAAATGCTAATGCTAAGGTAATTGATTGAAAAGGAGTTTGAATCATCAGAAATGGTGACCAGCCCAACTTTCTAATATTGCTACAAGGGTTTGCTACCTATATTTCCGAATCCGAACCCGTATATAATGCGCACCCCTTCCTTTTCCCATTAAAATCGGGAAAAATCCATTTACCCGTGTATAATGCGCACCCCTTGTTTACGAAAAATGAAGTCAGACTTGGCACATCACAGACACCATTATCATCCCGTATATTTGACACGATATCATCTATAATATACAATTGAGTCGTTGGCGTATAGAGAATTGAGAAGCGATGTTGATTTAAAAGGCTAAAAAAAATCGATAAATATAAAAACACACTTTCATTGAAGGTATCGCATTATTCAATTACGGTTGGTATGTTTTTTTTGGTATGTTTTTTTTGCGTGGTTTAATTATATCTTGGAAATGGATGGAAAGTGATTGAGTATTTTAGTTCATCCATTAGTAACAGCAATCACTTTTAAATCCAGGCAAACAAGATAAGATCCCTATTAAATGGCCACTCATCTTTAATCATCATAGATTAAGGGCTAATATGCTTGACAAAATTAACAATATTCAATATTGAATTTAATCAGATTGAATGAGACCTTTAGGTGGCATCTCCAAAATCCAAACCTTGATAACTAATCTACAGTTAAAGATGGGTTTTCCTATTTTTCAGCGACAAATCCAGCAAACTATTTGATTAATTGATGTTTCTAATGAATTATCATGTATTCTTAATCATATCATTATGTTCTTATTGCAAATAATTCAGTTTTAACCAATCATAAATGTCCATCTATGTACAGTCTGGATAAACAAAAAAGACTTTTTGACCTTTCATGATCGGTCACTCATTGGAATTCTGCTGGTAATTCTCTTCTAATTTCGCTAATAATGAATTAATTATGGACATGTGAGACAAACTGGTACTTAGAACACCTCTACTTTCTATTCATATAAGTATTAGCATTTTCATTTTCATAAATAAAAAAAAAGGGAACCCATCTTTAATGTCAAGGGTAAAAGCTAATGATTCTTTTTTCAAAGATGATTCTCTGTCTTAACAAACAAATTGGAAAACCATGTTAAGAGGTTTGGCTAAGGACCAGTTGGCAGACAGGATCATCTTGAATCTTAGTTGTTTTCTTTGCAAAAATGAGTTTCACAAATTTGAGAGAAAATGTACCCTAGATCACCAACTTGCAGATTTCTGAGAAAAAAAGTAAGATCTAAGAGATCTTACCAATTAGAATGAGTGATTTAGCTGCCTCATATCTCACACGCTCATTGTCATCTTTCTCTATTCGCTCTCTTAATGCATAAAATACCATAGTATCACCACAACGTAATAAACCGAGTTGCTGAAACATTAAAATACAAGTAAAGAGGCACATGTTAACCTTGAAACATATTATAACTTTGATGTTTTGAGGTGTCACTTATGTTATGTGAAAAGGCTTGTTGAAAAATGTTACAGGACTTTTTTCAATGGAAATAGGCACTGGTTCAAATACCAATTTTGTATAATTTACATAATAATAACATAGGACCATTATGCTTTACCTTAGCAGCATCTATTCTCTCTTCATCTCTTTCAGATAATAAATTACTATGTACTATTGTCTAAAATATAAAGTTCACACTAAAAAATTATCTAAATAGAATCTGCAATCAATGCAATGAGCAATACCTCCCACTGCGATTAATGAATTTTTCACATCATTTGAAAAATGCAAATCTGGATGTTTATGACATTTGATTATGTAGCTTGTTATCCTAAATAATAATAATTTCAAAAATCTTGGAACTTATGAAGTTGTTCAATAGATACACTCACTTTGACTCGCTCCCATCTGAGACCAGTAAATTCTTTCCCTTTATTTTTCTGTTTCATCATTTGCCAACCACTCACACCTAAAATTTATATATTAATCAAATTAATTTAAATGGTAAGGGTTGAGAGTCAAAACTGGCAAATCTGGATAAAATTGGCCATGACATGAAAATTTTCTTAAAGAATTGAATCCATGGAACCTTTCTGCCAAGAATGCCGCAATCTAATTAGCCACCAACTGAGATATATATGTAGCCTAGATAGTCGTCAATTATATCTATACAACAATGTGATCTGAATTATTTGGTACAATATTAATACAAAAAGACAACCACTTCCATCAAACTTGCACTATGACACTTCTATACAAGGGAATATTTCAGGGCTATTATTGTTTTTTTTTTAATTTCATATGAATTGCTATGGAATTTTTATCAAAAGCAATAAAATCAAATAAAATATTTCAAAATATGACATTGATAAAGTTCCATTATCATATTAAGAGAGTATTAATATATACTGTATAATTCTGAATATAATGCGCAGGCATGTATAATGCGCACCCCTTCCTAGACACCAAAAGTTATTAATACATTAGTCACTTTAAGGTAGTAAAAGTCAGAAGTATTTCAAATCTAAATTAAAAAGCAGTAAAGATTGAGGGACAGAATTAGGCCTACTATTTGAATTAAGGTTTAAACAGAACTGACAGCAAGCATACATCCCGAATTTGTTTGGCCAAGGTAGACGATCCAGCCTCAACCAGTGGTTCCAATGTATCTACATATACAGAGAAAAAGTTTGGCTTTATTATTGTAAGAAAAGATGACTATATCATATCATATGATTAGGTAAATTAGTAATATTTTCAGACTTACTCTTATTTGACCTCAGTTTGCATTTATATTCATTACTTCTTATAGTTATCATATAGATAAAGAAATCACACAAATATTGTTTTTACAATGTCTTAAGCAAGAAAAAATGTTACTTTTTGTGAAAAGCAAATTTCACACTTTATTCGCCATAAGATTGTTTGTAATGTAAATTCTTTTATTTGATGTTTTCATGGATAAGTGTTTCAAGTAGCTATTTTAACAGAAAAATCTGTTTACACATTGAAATTTTTGACAGAAATATAGTAAAGAATCTACTAGAATCTAATAGACAACTAAAGAAGAACAGTGTAGTATAATAATAACCTTTTTTCTTTGTATTGTCTCCTGAAAAATTGTTGAAAAAAAACAATCAAAAACATTCTTTTTTATCATTATTTTTCTAAATCCAAATTTGTTACTTATTATTGTGGAGTCTTAACTGATTAAAGGACTGACATATGCAAAAGATATTTGAGTTTTGAGATGAGTGAAATCTCCCCAAAAATTCATAAAAAATGGACATACCTCCTACTCGAGCCAGATTTTTAGCCATGACGAACGATTTCCTTAATTTCTTCCTTAAAATAGAAAAAAAAATGTTGCAGAAATTGTTATTTGGTTTGGTGATTTATTGGATAATGCTTAAGTTAAAGATCAATACTTCAGTTGTATTGACAACAATAGAAACTTTAAGAATAGAAAATTCAAATAAAAAAATACCTTTTTTTTTATTTTCATTAATTACAGGGACAGAGGCGCCACTTTATGGGGTTGATTTGAGTCTTTTATAGGTGTAAATAAACTTCAGTACTAGAACTGTACAGAAAAGGATGGATATGGATTTTAAGGCTCAAATTACGACTGTGAGCTGAGAAAGCGATTACCAAATGGCTTGTTTCTGAGACTAAAGTAGACCCATCAGATAAAATGGTGCACCTGTCCATTTAAAGACTTTAAAGCATATTGGTACCCAACTCACCATAAAAAGATAACCCTACCCACTACCATAATCCTTGTACATGTATTGGAATTCAAATCAAAAAGAAAATTGTTTTGAAAATGCAGAATTTTGTTCTAAATGGTTCAACCCTGAAGTTAAGTAGTGATATTTAAAAAAAATCACTAAACTACAAAAAAGACCAAAACCTCTAAAGACTATCCACTACTATTTCACACAAGAATAAAAAATATAAAATAGAATAAATATATGAAAGTTGTGCTATTCTACATGTGATACCTAAGTGAGACCGGTTCTTCTTCTATAATTTCTTCCCTGTAAAAACATTGTATTTATGGCACTTATTTTACTGTAGACATATGATTCAAGTAGCTATGGACAACTTCAAATCAAAAGGATATAGCCGTCTAAATATTTGCTTTACCACCTAATAGAGTCTGATTATAGCTATCTGTATCACTTTTCAGAATTATAATCTGACATACAGTTCTCAAACAATTGAATAAAATCTTGCTGTGAGTATTTAGACTGACAGAGTCATAACTAACTTTTCACATACAGATAGATAAGTGAAACATGATATCATCAGTCATAACTGAACTTGAGAATGTTAATGATCCCCAATAAAGCTGACAGTCTAAAATTCTGTTTTATTGATTTGCAGGAGAACTGAATGTCAAAATCTTAATTCAGAAAAGGATTACACACAGCTGAAACTGAAATTTCTTCATATTTTAACAACTATATCTCTTTAACATAAACATTAATTATTTTTCTCAATGATCACAGACGAAGACCAGCTGTCAAAGTAGTCACATTAAGTTACACCTATACATACAAGTCGGACTAGTACATACAAGATATGCTCAATATAATCATTCTACTTACTCTGATGATGTGCTACTCAATGTTCTATCCCTTTCTAACATTCTACGGAATCGTCTTTCAGTTGTACTAGGTCCTTCACGTTTTGGTTTAGGTTTCTCACGATAAAGAACTAACTTAGTCTCATCTATTAAATTTCTCTGGTCCACAATACGAGAAGCAGGTCTTCGGATGTCTGCACCAGGTAAAGAGAAAGCATTGGAGTATCTTGGAAATTCCTTATCTTTGCTCTAGAAAATATATCATGTTTCATTTGTAATACTGGGTAAATAATACATACCGGGTAAATAATACAGACAGGTCCTGTTTAAATAATACATACCATGTAAATAATACATACTGGGTAAATAATACATACCATGTAAATAATACATACCAGTACTGGGTAAATATTACATACTGTTATACTATTATACTTAACAGGTATGTGTATAACACCAGCAAAAGAGTGTATTTCAACTAAAACTAGAGCTCTTTTTTTTTGGCTTGTTTGGGGAACATCTTTGTAGACTGGCTTGGCTCTTCAAAAGCTGTGGATATTTTAGGGAGATAAGCATTTACTGACAGGAGCTAAATTTAGGAGCAGAAACCATTACATTTTTCCAATAGTTTGTTTGGACCAACTTTAATACTATATACTAGTATCAGTATTTGATCAGTATATAGTTAACAATTAATTTACACTTAGAAAAATAAGACTTTTGAGCAGGGATTGCAATCAGTTGTATTATGCCATGCACTGTCCAATGGTGAACATTCTGCCATTAATCTATTTTCTACAGCCGTCTGCTTCTTTTTATTGCTTTTTAAGTCTCACAGCTTAAATGATGGGGCAAATGGGTAATAAACAATTTCTATATTATATGCCATGATCTCAAAAGCTCTGTATTGTGGAGGAAGTGCCTAACTCATGTTGCTATGGCAACTCATACCTAAAATCAAAATAACTCACAGTCCTGGTTATAGGTAATACTTCTGGTGGTGGTATTGGTTTAGGATAGTATACCATCTTAGTTGCTCCTGCTTTCCCACCTCGTTTAGTTGGTACAACAGCTGGTAAAGCGAATGTATCTTGTGTTTTCTTACCAGATCCTTGACTCATCAGTTTATTGGTTGTGACTGTAGTATCACCATTTTGAGCTGTAAGTGATAATTATAACTTATTTGAATATATAAAATATATTAACAAAAGTTGTCTATTTTATGATTAAATCTTTACATGCTGGAACACTAAGATCAACAATGACCACCAGACATATCCAATTTGAGTATTCATAGCAATTAATGGAAAAGCAACTCTTGAGCTTTCACATGAAACAATTGTTATGAGGTTTCTATTTTCCTCTTCACAATAAAGCAAATTATATATCGTCAGACGTGAAAAAAATTTTGATTTGACTTGCAACACTCGAAATGGACAATTTTTTGCACAATTTTCATTTTTAGAACTTTGAGAGGATATTTGTTTTTTGTTTCATCTGATCAAAGAAAATTTGCTACCATATACCTTGTTTATTAGATGGTAAAACTGACAGCATAGCAGCATCATAAACTTTAGAATACATTTTCTTTAACTTGACAGCTAATTTATCTAAAGCTATCCTCTAGATAAACAATAACACAAAATATAATTAAGAAAGCAGAATTTAAATATTATCTTGGAGGACTTCAACTAATAGGCCTGCTTTATATTTGCCACAATTCAGTCTCCAAAATTTCTTCTAATATTAGAAATAGGTAATTCGATATCATTTAAA